CGGCCAATGAGGGAAAGTTCTAGGGGCATTTCCCACCTGTGATGGTCCCACACTTATTTTTCTGAGGGCCCCATAACGGCAACTATGTTGTCTATCGGTGTCTATGAGGGCCCACACCGGTGTCTCTGAGGGTTTCACACCCCCAACTCCGAGTGCCTACACCAGTGCCTATTAAAGCCCTATATCGGCGGCTCTGAGGACCCACCCAACACCTGCGCATCTTAAGGCCACCCACTGATGACTTGAGGGCCCCACAACGGTGACCCTGAGGGCCCCACTGGCGTCTGACAGTACCATGCCGGTCTCTTAGGACCCCGCAGGACTTCTTCTGCCGGCCTAATAAGGACCCCTTGCCGGTCACTGAGACCCCCTGCCGGCTTGTAGAGAGTTCGCGTCAGCAGCTCTAAAGGCCCCACACCCGTCTGTAACGGCTCTACACCAGCGTCTATGAGGGCCCGGAGCAACGCCTGTAAGGACCCTCATCGGCGCCTCTGAGAGAATCACACTAGCACCTCTGATCGCCCACACCGGCACCTGCATGGCGGCCCCACACCGGTGCCTCCCTTACCGGCGGCTCTGAGGGCCCTACGCCGGTGATTCTGAGGGTGCCACCGATAACTGAAGGTACCACACAAGCCCTTGGTGTAGCTGAGCTTTAATCCCATACCGGCCCTCCGAGGGCGCCACGTCAGTGGACTCATTGCCCCACACCCCTCCCTCACACCCGGAGCGGGTAAACTGTGTTATACCTATAGCAACGATTTTACCACCGTTGTACGTTATGTATTTCTCAAAGTTGACTCAAAATGGTCCAGTACAAAATCTGGCCTGCCAAACTTATGGCCAAGGTCAGGCCCTAACACGTTTTGGGCAATCAGTCTCAGTCCATGACTCCATTCTTCGGCAACTACGGTGCAAGGCCGATACTGTAGAAACTTGCAATTTGTACCCTTGGCCTGACCTTGACCTTGACCTCAAACTTTAAATTAAGTGCATGTTTTTAGTTATTCGTGATGAGATCTTTCGATTGGCGTTTGAATTTTCCAAATCGGACCAATAGTTCGGGAGATAACAGGGGGGTAAAATTTATCCCCCCAGCCCCGCGCGTTCGGCTGGAGAGTGGAGACCCCAGCCCCGCGCGGGTTAATGCATTGGGTGAGCCAAAATTGTTTTACAGTGGCGCTATTAAAACAAGCTCTCGAACCGATTTAACATCATTTCTTGCATGATGCCTGATGGCTACAGTAAAAAAGAACAGCTAAAAAAACTACAGAAACTATGGAATGCCCTTCTGAATGCTTGAGACGAGGTGTTAGTATCACTGATGTTAGTTGTCGGACTTTCGTCCCCGTCTTGAGTTGAGATGTTAGTTTCACAACGTTTCGGCCAGTTACTTCTCCGGCCGTCGTCAGGTGTTCTTTGGCCCTTAGAAGGACCTGGATGTTGGTGGCGTTGCGCCGTACGCGTCATACCGTTCGAAAGCTCCTGTAGTCAGCGGGAATCGAACTCGGGTTTCCCCGGTGATAGTCCACGGTTCTAACCACTCCACTATCGAGGCAGACATCGTTATGGAGCTGGAAACTTGGTGTCATTTATCCCCCAGATGTTTTTGTGATTTCCTTAGTAGTGGGAGCCATATTGGGCTGATGTCAACGCTTGGCTTGCTGATGGGGTTGCTAGCCAGCGCCATGTGTGCGGCTTCCTTGATTTTTCTGATTTTCCAGTGTGGCTCCTTGTCGATGATGGTGGTATCATCCCAAGCAGGTCTGTGATCTCCTTCAGACCATGCATGCTCCGCCACACCGGATTTCAGTGTTTCGCCTCGGATGGTGGCCTTCCTGTGTTCTTCGAGCCTGACCGCCAGTGGGCGGCCAGTCTCGCCCTTGTATGACCTGCCGCAGCTGCACGGGATGTCGTATATGCAGTTCTTTGTTTGCTCCTTGGTGGTTGGCGGTCTGACCTTTGTGAGTGACCTGCGGAGGGTGGTGGTACTTCTGAACACCGTCCTGATGTTGTATGCTCCGCAGATTCGCCTTAGCTTCTCTGACAGTCCTCTGTTGTATGGGAGGGATACTGTCGCGATTGGCTTATCCCTTGGTTGTTGTTGGGATGCTTCCTTGGGTTTGTGTTTCATGAAGCTCGTTGGGTATCCGTTTCTCCTGAAGGTGCTGGTAAGGCGTGACATTTCCATCTTTCTGGCTGCTTCGTCTCCACAGATGTTGGTGGCTCGGGTCTGCAGGCATCTTACGATACCTTTCTTGACTGTGTCTGGGTGGTGTGACTTGAAGTTGAGGTAGCGGTCGGTCGCTGTTGGTTTGCGGTAGACCGATGTTCTGAATGCTTCCTCAGATTTCTCCACTTGGACGTCAAGGAATGGTAGTTTGTTGTCGACTTCTGTTTCCATTGTGAATTGGATGGAGGGTCGGAGGCTGTTGAGGTGGTCTAGGAACGGTGTTATGTCCTCGCGATGGTCCCACAGGACGAATGTGTCGTCGACATATCGCAGCCACAGGGATGGTTTCAGTGGTGCTGTTTGTAAGGCCAGTTCCTCGAAGTGTTCCATGTAGATGTTGGCGATCACCGGTGACAGGGGTGAACCCATGGCCATTCCTTCAGTTTGTTGGTAGTAGTCATCGCCCAGTTGGAAGGCGGTGGTGGTGACACAGAATGTCAGGAGTTCCATGATGTCATCAGTCGGGATTGTCGTTCTTTCGGGCAGTGTATCGTCGCTCTCCAGTCTTGTCCTCACTATGCTCAGAGCTTCGGTAGTGGGCACATTGGTGAACAGACTCACCACATCGAAGCTTACCATTTGCATGTTCGGCGAAGGTCGCATGGCCCCAATCGAGGAAGCAACATCCCACATTAACAGAGAACATGCAGAAGAACTACGCTGGAAAGTCAGGCATGCATTGGAAAGGGCCAAACCGCCAAAGGCCAATACCACCAAAGAGGAACTGGCAGCAATCAACAACCTCAAACAAGACGGCAGCATCATCATACTTCCAGCAGACAAAGGAAACACCACCGTTGTCATGGACAAGAAGGAATACGACCACAAGATGAACAGCATTGTGACAGATGGATCGTACACCAAACTGAAGAAAGACCCAACCCCGGCCTGCGAACGCAAACTAACAAAGCTCCTTAAGAAGAACAAGGACAAGGAACAACTCACGGACGCCCAGTACAGAAAGCTGAGCCAACATCACAGCAAACTTCCACACATGTACGGGCTGCCAAAGGTACACAAGACCAATGTACCGCTAAGACCAATAGTAAGCTGCCGTGGCTCAGCCTGCCATCCTCTGAGCCAGTTCCTCGTCAAGATCATCAACCCACTGAGTGGCAAAACACCTACATATGTCAAGAACTCAGCCCACTTCGTCTCACTGGTTCAGGCCATGCGACCTTCGCCGAACATGCAAATGGTAAGCTTCGATGTGGTGAGTCTGTTCACCAATGTGCCCACTACCGAAGCTCTGAGCATAGTGAGGACAAGACTGGAGAGCGACGATACACTGCCCGAAAGAACGACAATCCCGACTGATGACATCATGGAACTCCTGACATTCTGTGTCACCACCACCGCCTTCCAACTGGGCGATGACTACTACCAACAAACTGAAGGAATGGCCATGGGTTCACCCCTGTCACCGGTGATCGCCAACATCTACATGGAACACTTCGAGGAACTGGCCTTACAAACAGCACCACTGAAACCATCCCTGTGGCTGCGATATGTCGACGACACATTCGTCCTGTGGGACCATCGCGAGGACATAACACCGTTCCTAGACCACCTCAACAGCCTCCGACCCTCCATCCAATTCACAATGGAAACAGAAGTCGACAACAAACTACCATTCCTTGACGTCCAAGTGGAGAAATCTGAGGAAGCATTCAGAACATCGGTCTACCGCAAACCAACAGCGACCGACCGCTACCTCAACTTCAAGTCACACCACCCAGACACAGTCAAGAAAGGTATCGTAAGATGCCTGCAGACCCGAGCCACCAACATCTGTGGAGACGAAGCAGCCAGAAAGATGGAAATGTCACGCCTTACCAGCACCTTCAGGAGAAACGGATACCCAACGAGCTTCATGAAACACAAACCCAAGGAAGCATCCCAACAACAACCAAGGGATAAGCCAATCGCGACAGTATCCCTCCCATACAACAGAGGACTGTCAGAGAAGCTAAGGCGAATCTGCGGAGCATACAACATCAGGACGGTGTTCAGAAGTACCACCACCCTCCGCAGGTCACTCACAAAGGTCAGACCGCCAACCACCAAGGAGCAAACAAAGAACTGCATATACGACATCCCGTGCAGCTGCGGCAGGTCATACAAGGGCGAGACTGGCCGCCCACTGGCGGTCAGGCTCGAAGAACACAGGAAGGCCACCATCCGAGGCGAAACACTGAAATCCGGTGTGGCGGAGCATGCATGGTCTGAAGGAGATCACAGACCTGCTTGGGATGATACCACCATCATCGACAAGGAGCCACACTGGAAAATCAGAAAAATCAAGGAAGCCGCACACATGGCGCTGGCTAGCAACCCCATCAGCAAGCCAAGCGTTGACATCAGCCCAATATGGCTCCCACTACTAAGGAAATCACAAAAACATCTGGGGGATAAATGACACCAAGTTTCCAGCTCCATAACGATGTCTGCCTCGATAGTGGAGTGGTTAGAACCGTGGACTATCACCGGGGAAACCCGAGTTCGATTCCCGCTGACTACAGGAGCTTTCGAACGGTATGACGCGTACGGCGCAACGCCACCAACATCCAGGTCCTTCTAAGGGCCAAAGAACACCTGACGACGGCCGGAGAAGTAACTGGCCGAAACGTTGTGAAACTAACATCTCAACTCAAGACGGGGACGAAAGTCCGACAACTAACATCAGCTATGGAATGCCTTTCTGAAAGCTATTGAGCACCCCCAATGATTTTTGGAAAACTACACCCATGATCCATGTATATAGGCAATAGCCATATACAGATTCCACCAGGGCGCGGATTAAACCTCGCGGGCCCGGGGGGCGTTTTTCGACCCCCCCCTGGCGAATATTTGCGATAGCTCCCGAACGCTTAGGGATAGGAAAGCGAAACTTTCAGTACCTTTTCTGCCATCAATGTGGCATCATCTGAAGTAAAAAATTGGGACCTAGCCCCCTTGATGACGTCACAAGGTCCATTTTTCTAGACCCCTGCACGGCAAACTTCGGCGTCACAGACGCAAACTTCAAATAGCTGCTAAAAATAGAGTTTTAGAGATAAAGACAAATTACGAGCACGGTTGTGTAGCGTTTGACCTAGAGAAAAATAAAAAAATAGTTTTGGTGACCTGAGGTCAGAGGTCAGGTCAACGACCTCGAAATGTGGTTTTAGTTTTTCGCAAATAACTTAGACAAACATGGTCCTATAGAGCTACGGTAGTGGTACCATCGCATTCGCCTTGTCAAGCCGCGTCGAATGATATATATTTTGTTCGGAAAAGGTCAAGTTTTATGTTGACCTCATGTGACCTCGAATGACCTCTGGTTGACCTTGACACATGAAAGGTCGTTTATGATGGATTTGTACCCGCTGATCACGAATCTGGCATCTATTTTCCTCTAAGCATTCATTTAGAGCTTCCGGATGGTAAAATTGTCTTATTACGAGCGAGCGAGCGCAGCGAGTCTTTTCAATATAACGGGAAAATCTCAGTATGAGCGGCCCGGCCCGGCCCGGCCTGTAACGCTTTTGAGAGGCTTATATCTCAGCAACCGCTGAACCGATTGGCCTGCGGTCTTTTTTGCTGGGTAGCCCAATCCCTTCTACCCCGTAATTGACTACTTTTGATACATCTCAGTGACCGTCGTGGCACGTGCCACGTGAAAAGTTAAGGGTGATCAAGCAGTTTTGCAAAAGTAATGATTTTGAGAGGCCCATATCTCCGCAGCAGCTTGAGCGATTGTCTTGCAGTAATTTTTATAGGGTAGCTGCATCCCTTCTACCAAAGGTCGGATACTCTTGATCTATGTGAGTGACCCCCACTGCACGTGCAAAATACAAAAAGAAGAGGTGCCAAATTTGTTCCCATTTCAGTAACTCGGTAATTACTGGGGCGATTTCGCTGAAACTTGGCATACAGGTAGGCACCCACCAGGCAATGCATTCTCATGTGTTGCTGTTAGGGTACTACTGCACGTGCGCACGTGCAGGAGGCGTTTCCAGATCTCGAGAACGGCTGGGCCGATTGCGCTCAAATCTGGTACACGGTTGGGGACCGGTTAGTAAGGTGCCGTGCAAAAGTCATTTTGGACCCCGTTTGCACGTGCGCACGTGCAGAATGCCGCTTCCAGATCTCAGGAACGGCTGGGCCGATTGCGTTCAAATTTGGCACACCGCTAGCGACCGGTTAGAAGGGTGCTTTGCACAAGCCTGTTGGAAGTACCCTCTCGCCCTTCCGCACGTGCAGGGCTCACTATCTCGCTCGCTCGTTCTTCGCCCAAAAGGCGTTTTACTGGTTTATTATTACTAACTTGAATTAGTGAAATAGCCTCTAGCAGGGATACTCTTCAGTGACCTTGACCTTTGAGCAGCCTTGTATCGTAAGAGGAACCACAAATAGGGAACTGATAAGCCTCAAAACATTTCAAAACATCTTGAAAGTTAGCACGCAAGATGTGCGAAAAAGTGCCAAGTTTGAGGTCAATTTGGAGCGTGACCTTGACCTTGACCTTTGATTTTGAGCACATTTTCGGAATCCTCAGATTCTCTTCTTTCGTTTGACACCCAATTTTACCGGTTTGATGCCGCCTGCCGTCCTCTAGAAGGCTTACTTTGAGATCACTACACATGTGCCGGTTTTTGCCTTTGACCTTGACCTCTGACCTTGAAAATTGACCTGAGGTCAAAAATTTTAGGTGCTTTCGAATCGTCTCGTAAGGACCTTTCGTTTGGTATCACTTTTGTTTCCGTAGCTCCCTTATTTACGGAGTTAGACAGGGGGGGGGGGCGAAAAACGCCCCCCGGGCTGCGGTGGTTGGGATTACCCCCCGGGCCCGGCCGGGTTAAAGGTCCGCCAAAAACGGTGTCGCTCTATGCCGCCGTTTGGCCGCGCGGGATACTCATGTACCTATCTCAGGTCAAAGCCAGTCAAGTCATGAAGGCGTTTGAGCAGTGATTATGCTGCACTGAACAGATCTTGTGTATTCCAGTGTTTCCTAGGACGTCTGAGCCCGCTGAATTCAACAGTGCGCTTAGCGCACAGACGCACCTTATACATGTCCAGGCCGAACTGACTCTGTGCCTCCGCTGCCAAGTGTCGCGGTTTCTTGGCGCTGACGGGGCCGGGCGGGCGGAGCGTCAGGCCCGCTGCCAGCACCAACACCACTGCCGCCGTCCACTGCATCTCGCCGCACTCTGACGGGCGTTCCCCGTCGGCTCCGAGCGGGAACTGCTCGGCGCCCGGGAGCCGTCCTCGGTCACACCGCCGCTGACGCTGAGCTCCGGTGACACCGGCCAGTCGGTAGATGGCGTGCGGGCCAACCCAGCCGACGGGTCAGATCAGACCGGTTGGAGTTTCCTCGTGTCGTGTTTCAGAATTTCCTCCGGCGTGGCTTATACGTGCGCACTGTTCGTGTGATCATGATCAATGGTCAATTCGCAGTACCTACCTACGCCAGAGTGGAGCAACCATGCGTTTAAGTTGCATTGAGGCTTTCGTTTCGTTTTGTTGGGTTAGGCCCTTTCGGTCGACAAGACCATTGCAGAGCCGGAAGGATGATAGGAATTAGGGGGAGACATTGGTCTGGGCAGGCACCCTAGTGAGTCGCCGGGGCTGAGCCCGTCCAGAGGACAGGCGACCGACAGGGACAGGCATTGAGGCATTGACCTGCCTGGGTCATGACCTTCAAGGGCAAAGTTAAACGGTAACTTTGACCCCTAGAGCGTTCCCGCCTGACAAAGACCTTGCAGGTCATACCTACTCATGACCTACGGAGCTCAAGCTGGAATCTTTGACGAACATTCGAATGAAACTATTTTGAAAGCGATCAGTTGGAGGCTGGAGCTCTAGGTAGACATATCCGTACCTACCTAGTCTCTTAACCTGCCCTTGAGTTTGCCCTTGTAGGTCATGACCTAGGCAGCGCAGGTCCAATGTCAATGTCTCGGTAAGTCGGGCATCTGCAGGAAGTAGCATTAGGCCATTTTGAAAGCCATCGGACGGTAATTCCGGGCTCTAAACCAGGGCTGCGGAGTCGGAGTCGGAGTTGACAGCTCTGCCCAGACTCAGAGTCGGTGTCAGAGTTGGTTTTTGGAAGTCGGAGTCGGAGTCGGAAGGAGTCACCGAAAATTCATCGACTCCGCAATCCTGCTCTAAAACCGTATCATATTTTAACCTTGACTTTGACCTTAAAGGTCATGACCTTGGTATCTAGATCAATATCCCAAGCAGGCTGGGATCTTTGACACGAAATCGAATGAGACCATTTTGAAAGCGATCGGACGGTAAAGGGCAGTAGGTATCCCGTCATTTGACCTTGACCTTGACTTTCAAGGTCATGACCAAGGGAGCTCAGTTTTACTTGCTGACCTGCATCTTTTGATATCGATTCGCTTGTTATCCCATTTATTACATTATCAGGCAATTTGTTTTGGAGTTATGTCTACTTTATTCCCTACACCAGGCCTTCTACCGGATATCAACATTTAGCTAAATTGACGGACGTGTTTTTCATTGAGACAAATAGTGACAAACGTGGCGCAGGTAAACAGCATTGGCATTCTTCTGTGCGAGATGAGAGATGAGATGTCCTATTAGGTGCCACTCAATTTGAATTTCTATTAGTATATTTTATTATGAATTTCGTTCGAATGTTTGAATTGGCCAAACATGGATTGATCTGCAGCCGGAGTTTGAGTTCAGGGATCTTGTAGCTTGAGCGAGGCCCTCCGTAGCCGGCTGGTCGTCGGGCGGTGAAACAGAAAGGGCGCTGGAGGGCATTTTAGTCAAGTGGCTATTACAGACTTCTCCCCCATCCGTCCTATGCCTTCTACGACACGATTGTGTTGTGCTCATTTCGACAGCCTTGATTAAATCGCCCCAGGCGCCCTGTTTCAGTTTTCTGCTGTTTTCACCGTCCATCCGCGTAGGGCACAATTTCCGGGTGAATGTGAAGGGAGCTAATCCAAATAAGCAAATTCAACATGCTCATCAAAGCTGAACACAGCCTTTGCCATCTTATTTATTTTAACTACCTGTAGTGGTTCCTATTTAATTGTAGTCCACACCTCCTCTGCAATGGCACGGCCCAGGGGTCTAATTTCTGCGGTATAAAGGCAAAACTTATTATTATATTCGGGTGACCTCTGACCTGAGGTAATGGCCTCTGACCTGACATAATATTGTGTGCTTGAGGTTTGATCAATGGTCCACTGTAATCCCTGCCTCAAGCCCTTAGGTCTTCCAGCTTGATTTGAGCTATGTGACTCTTGATAGACTAAGCATTGATATCAGTCCCTTCCCTCAGGCTTTTTTATTTTAATTTCACTGGTGTACCATGTTATACAATATACATTAAATAGGTAGTTCACAAGCTCATTGTGATAACAATGTGTTTTTTAGTTCATGTATGGTCATATTGTCAGGCATTTTTTTTCAACACTGCTTGTTTCCAAGCTATGTTTTGTGTTTTGTCTCATGATAATGATTGAAAGACATACCTAACAGTTAACACAACACATCCACCACTCATCAATGGCTCAAGCAAGGTTTTTAGGGCTCACCTGGCTTACTCACTTGGATTTACTCACCTGGTTGGGTTCCCTCAACTTCCCAGTGTCATTAAAAAAAGGCAGGAAGGAAGTGAGAAAGAGCAACAGGAACCCTGAATCCTCAATCTTACTCATCATTAGAAAGGGAAAATTTGATATTAATGGAAATTGGTAACATATAACAATTTTTTGTAACATGTAACGTTTCAGAATCTTGAATGGTTCACAATAGAAGTGCTGGAGAATGGTTAGGACAATTAGGTTCCTAGGTAGGTACTAGGTAGTCACCTAATCTTTTGACCTATCTATCACCTATCTCTTGTTGCAAACCAAATGCCAGAAGACAGAAGTGGGTGATAGATATAAGGTAGGCATTACATAGTTTTAGTAGCAGTTATATAAGTTGTGGGCTGGATAGGGTAAGGTTTTATACTTTATAATTGATGTTTCAGTTCTGGTCTCTGGGGTGTTTAACACTCTCCCTTTCAGGGCATGGCTGGGAACCCATGGAGTCTTGGGTAAACCTACTTTTTAATTGCCCAAAAATTGCTTTTACATATTCTGGCCTCTCACTATATGAGAACAATTCAATTTGGGTGTTCTTTCTCTTTCCTAATCAAACAATGATATAGGGTTCACATGACCTGTGCTATGTAACCCAGATGATTGATCCAATATATCTGAAATGAACAAGCTGTAAGTGCTCAGGATCTTTCTTGCCCCTTTCTAAAAGTGTCATCTCTCTGTCAAATTTCCCTGGTTCAAAGAGCATTTCAAAGCTGCAGCTTTTTGTACATTGCAGGGGCTTTTGTTGGGGAGCGACGCACGGCCGCCCGGCCGGCCGGCGGCTGGCGGCGGGCGCCGGCCGCCAAACCTGCAGCTCTGCCGGCGGTGATGACGTCGGTGGCGTGGGGGCCGCTGATTGGTCGGCGGGCGCCCAGCCCCCCTATATAATGCGGTGCATCGCCGGCGGCGGGCAGTCGCTGAGCGGTGCGCTCGGCGAGAGGGGCTCGGGGCTGAGCGGGTGGCTCAGCACGGGGGCTTGAGCGCGGCGGAGGACAAGAGGCCGGAAGGCACGGGGAATCAGCACAGAGTTGTTAACTGAATTAACGTGTACCGTACGATCACTGTAAATATACTAATCAGCTGAGCCGAGGTGTTTGCCGGTGAATGCGCGTCCGAACAACTGGCGCGGTCGGTAGGACTGTTCGGACACAAGCGGACGCGCATTCGTTGGCTTACACTATTTCTTAAGTAAATTTCAATATAGTTCAATTAGAATCGGCCTCAGCGCAGCAACGTAAAATGGAGAGAGAATTCCTGCTCTTGACTAACTTTGAAAATTTCACGGGGGAGAACAAACAGGCATGGGGTCAATGGTACCGACGATTCCGGGCAAAGACGGCCGCGTTTTCCGAAGAAAAACGGCTGCAGGGCCTGCTCAGCCTTCTGCAGGGCGGCGCCCTGGATTACTTCGCCTCGCTGTCAGAGGACGTCCAAGGAAGTCTGCAGCAAACAGTAGCCGCATTGGAAGCCCGCTTCGGCACGGCAAAGAATGCAATGCAGGCACAAGCCGAACTGGCGAGCATCCGACAGCAGCCCGGCGAGGCGACTCGCGACTTCGCGGACAGGGTGCGCCAGGCCGGCCGGGAGGCGTACCCGGGGGCGGCAGCCGGTGACCCGTCCGTCGAGGCGACCATCGTCAGCCGCTTCTTGTGCGGCCTTCGTGACGAACAGCTGCGGATGCGGGTGCTGACAAAGGACCCGGCCAGCCTCATGGAGGCCATGGATGTCGCCGCTAAAGTCCAACAGCAGCAGGACGCATTCCGAGCAATGCGGCCACCCAACGAGAGCGAGGCGTTGGCGGTCCGGGACCGGGGCGCACCGGGCGCAGATCGCCTAGACGCGCTGGAGAGGGGCATTGGGGAGCTGCAGCGCGCCCTGCAGCGCCTTGACACAACGGGAAGGCGGGACGCCCACCGCTCGGGGCACGGGGCAGGGGCAAGGGACCCCCAACTCGGGCCACCGAACCCGAACAGGCAGGGCCCGGGGCGCCGCTGTTTTCACTGCAATAGCCCGGACCACCTGATCCGCGACTGCCCGGCGCGGCAGGCACAGGGAAACGATCGGGCGGGGTGGTCCTTCCCACCCGGTCACCAGCAGGCGGGCTTGGAGTGGGCGGAACGCCCCCGTGGTCCGCCTGAGGAGGCCGGCGGATGGGCCTCAGTCTGCCCCGGGTGCAGCCATGGGGGACAGCGATGGGCGGGATGCCCGCCTGCCCCCGCAACTGCAGCCGTAGGTACGCCCGATATCCCGTCGATGGAGGGTCCAACAGCACACATGGGGCACTGGCAGCGGGGAGGCACACAGGCAGCGGGATGCGGTCCTGAGGGGCAGTGGAGGGTGGGTTACCCACCTGCCCCCTACGGCACACCCACCGCGGGGCAGCCCGCACGTCAGGGACAGGGGTGCCCTCCCACACCCGCGGTCATGCAAAGGGACACTCACGTAGCTGCGGTGGGTCAGCCACAGGGAAACGAGTAAGTACCGGTGCGACGGGACGAGTGCCGGTACGGAATCCATCAGAGTCCCACAGCGCGGGGTTGACGGCATCAGCCGTAAAGGTGCGGGTTGCGGGTCACCAGGCTTGGGCTCTGGTGGATACCGGGGCCGACTTCTCCATGATGAGGGGGGATTTCTGGGACATGATCGGGGAAAAT